TATATATATATTATATATTAATCTAAAATATATATATATATATATAATTCAACTTTTGATAAATAAATTTCCTAAAATATTATATATTATATTACATTTTTAAATATTATACATTATATTCAATTTTGTATTCATTAGATTAGATAAGCAAAGTTCTTTTATCGACTGTTATGATTTAGATTGAAATCAAATCAATAGAATGTTTATCAGTGATTTCTACGTAATCTCTCTCTCTCTCTCTCTATATATATTTATATATATATATATATAGTTGTAAAGTTTATCGTGTTGAACAACTATTTTATTGTAATTAACATTAAATTTAAATTATTACTGCTAACTAAGTTATAATATGAACCAATTTTCGCTGAGAAAATATAGTTCCAATTTAGTAAAAAATCTGAAACTAGAAAGCACGAGACTTCTGATACGCGCTGCATCTCGTAGATTACTGGAGCTTTACTTGATCTTTATTTTATGTAATTTAAGTTTAAATCCAAGTAGCTCTGAAAGTATTCCTGAGAGTGCTGACAGCAATACTACTTTAGTAATGGTGTATAGATACGGATTAGCTGAAAGACCCGAGATTTTAAATGGACTCTCCAATTCCTGCAAAGCATTTTAGATTAATCAATTTCTATCTGTCCAATTAAATTCACCATAGAAATGCGTACCTTTATTAAATCAGCCGCTAATTTCAATACACTATTCGCAACCATAAGCTCTTCCTTCTTATGTGGCTTTTGTTCAATTTGCAAGTACAAATTAATCTAAAAGTCATATCGTAATAAATAATTAAGTCATAAGAAATTCGGAATCACAAGCATTGTAATAAAGTTTACCTGTTCAGTTATTAAAACTGACAGATTCCTGTATTTCTTATTAATCTTTGTTCCTAGCGTCATAAATCGTAAAATGAATATACCAAGCGAGAAGCTCCAAAATAAAGCCTCGACGTTGTACCGTGAGTGCAAAGTTTCGAGATCCTGAAATGCAAGTTGTATTGTTAAAATAAGAGAAACTTACCACAGATGTACAACATATGCATGTGGAGTATGCTTACTTTAATTAATTCCAGACTGACGAATGACAATAGCAATATTGTAACAATAAATACCGCCGACACGATCACATCTACGGATCGTTGCGGACCTCTCCGCTACAAGCCAGAATATGCGTGAGAAATGTCAAGTCATTCTATAGGTGTATAAACAACCAACATTTAGTGTTCTTACTTTCAGGTAGGATCTAACGCTCAGCCACGTCTTTATGTTGCGAACTTTGTTCAGCCGGAAATGCGGCAAGTCAGACTTCCGCGCGCGTCTGGATGACGTCAAATGAGAAAACAATTTCGCGTACAGGAGTCTCTGTTTATACGTGCGCTCCGCCACCGCCAGCAGGAAAAATAAGAAACACGACAGCACGAATCGCTCGAACGTTGAAATAAGCACCACTGCCCGTTCCCTGAAAGAAACATAATCGTTTGAGAGGGTTGGTATTCGCGAATATTTCGACTACGTTCGACTACGTTCTTACCAAAAAGTGCTTCCGAACGCTACACCAATCACCCTGCACAAGATGTCGGTATACGTTTCGAGATTCACCTGAATCATATCACTCGGCAATAGACTGACGGACACATTGCTTACGTTATCCGAGCCTATGTGATCGCTCAGTCGTTTTATCGACGGTATTAGACATAGCGCGACGCTCAGTACCAAACCGCCATAAAAGTAATTCATACTTTCCGGCATTGACTCGACTCTAGCGATAATCGATGAACTAATATCCAACACCGACAATTCGGCCTTTTTGATGTCACGCCGCGTCCAGATGGTGCACGAAACTACACACAGTATGACTCACATCAAATGCTGTCGTATCTGCATACGTTTATTACGCGTTTGATTGGCGTACTAACCGCGATCGGAGGATGTGCAAGTAGAATTAAGTAATATCGACGGCGGTAGCTCGAATTCCCAGGAGAAAGGGTGCTCCACGAATTCACTGTAATTGAGATTGGTCTCGCTGTGCACGTCAGACTCGCCGAGTTCTGAGCTGTAACAGAATCGTGTCTTGAGAAATAGGTTCAACTTTAGGTATTGTGAACATGGCAGGAAGATTTATTATTATTATTGTTTATAGTTTATTGCATAAATTGGATAAATTTCCATTAGTACATAAAAGAACATAAATATAATTGCCTATAAAGCTTGGACTACAATGTGTTCTTTGCGTCTTGTTTCTTGTTCTCTATCTTTCTTATGTAAGAACTTATGTAAGAACTTCTATTTATTGTAGAAAAGAGAGAGAGAGAGCAAAAATAAGACGCAAAAGCACATTGTAGACCAAGTTTAAGAGCTGAGCGCAAGTTGTTAGTGCGAATAAATGGGATAATATGTTTGACAGTATTATCGCACGTGCTGACGGATTTGTTAGACTTTTAAATATACATGGGAAATCTATCTTCCACATCAAAAACGTTTCCGTGTTTAAAGTCTGGCAAATCCATCATCGCGTGCGATAACACAGTCAAACATATTATTCTTCCATATAAATATAATCGCTCCAACCTACGCCCGACTTTTGCGAGATCTTTCTATGTTTTTATTTGATTGTGGATCTCGAAAGTCTAATAATAATCAATAAATATAATTATATTTGTAAATATTTATACTGAAAAGGAAAAGAAGATTTAAAAGAAAAGTAAAAAGAAAATATAATCAGAAAATAATTTACAATTTCAGAAGCAGTCCAATCAATTTCCTCTTAAACATGTTCTGGGACGTATTAAAGAAAAAAACGATGTAATCAAAGAATTCATCAACTAGCACATTAAGTCGATTGATAGGTTTAAATTGATCATATAGCGTTCGATGATATGAGATATAAAATAATGAGCATCTTCTGAACAAACATTCAGGGACATTAAACCGCATTAAACCCAGAGCTTCGGAATATGGAGACAATCCGTATTCTTCGTATTTTCTTGATATAATGATGATGCAATGATACGTTCAAGTCTCACCTGTAACTGCACTCGTCGCTGTTGGTCGTAACTCCCATCCATTCTGTAGCAGATGTCGTTGCTTCAGTAAGATGATGCGTCGTAGCCTCCTCGCACTCGCCTTCTTCTTCGCTTTCGCATTGCTGCCGCCCCTCTCTCAATCCCAGTATCTTCGATGGCACGTCTTTACTCTTGAATTGACAAGATCAGTCGAAACGACAGATTAATACAAGATGCATTTAATTAGAATATGAAGATGTTTAAGAGGGAATCGACTCATCAAAGAAACAAGTGCGCTTATAGATAAATAATTAGTGAGAAATCTTGGACTCGGGTCTAAGTATGTAAATAATGTATATGGTAACTTACTACATCGTTATGAATATCACTTGTGCTATCCGTAAAATTGCCATCTTTTTTTAATGGATCGGGTGCTGCGTGGAAAGTGGAAAACGATGATTTAGCTATTACTCCATTTTACCTTTCCAACAAAGATTAAAGCGTGTTAGCGGTTCGGAATGCAAACAGAAACGAATTAAAGTACTCTTCAATCATATCTTCATACAGCATTATGGGAATCGCGAAAGCGGAAGATCCACTAAATATGCTCTCAAAAGTTAAAAAAAATCATATGTATATATCGCATATAGATAATCCGTGCAATTGTCAGAGATTTGACAGCAAGTGGTAAAGTCATAATTAATTTCACGTTAACTGACTACAGGCTATGTTACAAGCGTGTACTTGTAAGTCAAACCTGAGTGCTTTGGTGGGAGTGGGATTTGCTGACTAGCACCATCTTCCAACCACGACATACGGTTGTGGTTTTCAGCTTGACGTGCTATTCTTTCTCGTGATCTGTTTCTTTGCACCATTGCACGCCCCATCACTTTATCATTATCACTAGAAACATTACCGTTTAAACTTTCAAAGCCATCGTCATCCTGATGTATATTTGCTACGTGTTCTTCTGGCATAGCACCTGTTGCATGAGAAAGGATATTTGAGAATACTGGATGGAAGCACAGTAAGAATTTATTTAAATTAAATCATTCTTACCCGGTTGTTCGCGACTAGCTGAGGTTTCATTTGTGGAATTGGAATTTTCTGCTGTTGTACTTATTGACTCTTTATCATATACTATTTGAGCACTGGCTTCCATTGTGACAGGTTCCTGTGGCTGGTTGCCAGACAAAGAATTCTCAATCATTACTTTCTTGGCAAATCTTACTGCAGTAAGTACTTCTTCATTTCCCAAACTTGACTTGTCAGAAGCCATATCTTGAGAAGACTTTGTGTCTTTATGTATACCTATAATGTGAAATTACAAAAGTTATAAAATAAAAATATTTCTTATACTCTTTTTCTTACTTACGCAAATTAAGTCTAGGTCTTGACTTTCCGTTTCTGCCTCTGACATGTCGAGAACGTCTTGTTATTCGTTGCCTAGATTGATTAGATGTCATTGTAGGACCAGAATGTGTTGACACAATGTGGGAATGAACAGTGCATAAAATAAACATCATAATAATAGGTATTAATACTTCCGACATTGAGACAATCTGTAAATAGACATAACAATTAGCAAACAATAACACAAGTTTTAGGAAATCAACTGTTTCTTTCTCATACTTCTGCCTCGCTATCCCTGTTCGCATAAATGTAATACAGGAAGATATTGATCACTTGTAAGCTGTACAGTAATAAGAAAAGCACGAAGATACGATAACTTGTTTGCTGTATCCACCACTTTTTGTACAATGGAAGAAACAAGAGTCGTTGAAATGCTAGGCAAGCTACTGTTGACAAGCCATGTTTCGGTTTGGCCTTTGGAAATGAAGATCCTATATACATTGATATCACAGGTCAATATACATGCCTATCGAAGGAACATTAAAATAATATTTTGTATCTATATATGTCAGATAACACTTATATATAGCATACCACGAACGAGATCAACATCAATTAGTTCTGTCTTAAGTTTTGCTGTTCTCATGGGAACATGTGTGAGTCCACCAAGAATATGCTGCTCTATAGTTCTTTCCCATTGCTGCTTATCATATGTACCAATCTTCTTTTGGTACCTGGCAGAATTTAATGTTCCAATTATTATTATTACTATTAGTAACTATCTTAATTTTACTTTCTCTTTATTATATAAAACAAAATTTCTTCCTTACTATCAATATTTAAATTAAATTAAATGTAGGTCAAAACATCTAGCTGACAATTTTTTTATAAACGTCGGTTTTTGAACGTAGAAAACAGCCTAAAGTTTTCAAAAATTTACTCGACGCAATGAAGAATCCTCACCAATATATAAGCTCGTTGAAACCCATCTCTGTCAATCGCATTATCGTAGCAGCTTGCGATAACAATGCTCGTCAGCTGTGACGGAAGTACAGATGACGGAACAGCGACTCTCCACTGATTTTCACACAAAGAATTAAAAATCGACCGTAAATTTCGTCATACGTAATCACGATATCGAGAAGGTGCCGACGAATCTCAGTTTTTATTCAGCATTCGAGAGTATGTCAAGATACTTTGGTAATTTCACGTCATCCGCATCGAGGAATGTATCGGAGAAGCTGAGAAAAACAGACTATAAGGTGGAACGATTCGAGCATAACAAAGCACAATTCATGGACCTAAAGTGGACGGACTGCATCAGCGCGTATCATCGCGCGATTACACTCTTAAATGAGATAGGAGAGGGTAATGACGTGCTATCGCGACGGTCCTAAAACTGTAACTGAATGTAGCGGAACATTATGCTTACTGTCAACTGGGTCAGGGGGTACGAGAGCTCAGGGGAGCAAGGAGGAATTACAGCGAATCGGATCTTTCCGGTTTGATTCGGTTACATTCGGTTCGCGCCATCTTGCACATTCCTTTCCGTCTGATGAATTCAAGATGTATGCGGACGGATTTACATAACTTGCTAAATTGTGCCGATAATCATTCGATTTATGGTATCTGTCGCTTCATATTATATATTATCCGATAAACTATGTACATTATTTTATCATATGTGTAATGTACAGGGTGAAAAACCTTTCTCTCGGGATCCGTCGTATGCAAGTAGAACGAATGGCCAGCAAGAAATAAGCCATCGAATCGACGTCTATTCGATAGTTTATTTCTTGCTGAGTAAGGTCGGATAAACAAGTCATGTTGCACAAATCACAATAATTAATGAGGCATTAATTAATCTGTATGAGCTAATTATCGCACGGGAAACAGTAGGCTGGATTTTGATAAAGAAAAATAGCTGATAAAGAAAAATAGCTTATTTCTGAAAATGTCCCAGCAACGATAACCCAGGTAGCACATGTTAGTTTTATATATGTTCCTTAAACATAAGTAACGTTTCATAATCATATTACATATGTTTGAAAAACGTACATGAAACTAAATTTGTTACTTGGGAAGTATCAATTGATGATGAAAAGCATGTTAGGTTCAGTATTAATTTTCAATAATACAATCAGTAAAATTAACTCACGAAAGACATAAATTATGTACTAAGGGAAATAATTAGTCGATTTATTATTCTCAAAGATCCTTCCTCATACTTGATGTGATAAAGCCCGGTTTCATCAACACGGGTTAATCAAATCGGTCGACAGTTTATCCATTGGAACTATCTAACAACGATGCGATTGGACAGTTCCAACGGAAGAGCTAAATTTAATCGATTTAAACTGATTTGATTAACTCGTGTTGGTGAAATCAGACCTGAATGATAAATAGTAGTGTAACGTCCGGACTTATTTTGGAACATTAATAATATATTAGTACAGATCGGAGGCCGACTTGTCTGATTTCAGACATCACTAGGTTAGATATCACTAGGTATAGATATTTTATCCCTATGTTACTAGACGTAAGTACGTGCGCATATGTATATTCGCGCACGTTAAATATTATAATTAAAATTATAACGTCGAATACTGCGTGTCGTTAGAGAGTCTTAAAATCGATGGATCAACTATAGACAAGAGAAACCGTAATCTCTCAATGCGATAAGGCGCCTCGTTGCTAACATAAATAGGAGCATGAAAACTGAATCCAAATACAACTCAGGAACGACGCGGCGATATCGACGCGGTGACATCATACCGATAGAATAAATTTCTTCCATCTCCACGACTCTATCAGCCAACCAGAAAACAATTCTCAGCAACAAAGCGACATATAAAAACGCACGCTTCGTTGAGAAGACGTATTTCTTTTCTCGTAATTAGCCTTTGGTACTCGTGTACTTATATACTTTGGAATATATTAGTCGTAAAATCCAACTGTGTAGCAATTATTTTTGTCTACCCCTCATTTCTCGAACGTTGCGAAATCGAAATTGGAATCGCGGGCCGCATCATCCCGCGCAGCGCCGGAACATCCGAGACCGAGCCAGGAGAACGAGCGGCTCTGATTTCTCACCAGATTCATCGATCGTTTCGCCAGATTCCGGAGACCCAGGGTAAACTCGGTGAAAAGCAGAGTGACCCAAAAGCGGAGTCATCGCTCTGTTGACCGTCCACGTAAGTCATTGATTTTACTACATTCAAATTTCCCTATATAGTTATCTATCGTGGACGTAACAGTAGTTTATATGGTTCACTGTTCGGAAATTATTTGCACCCTGGGGGTCTACCCTACACTTTCCACCACTCATACTGTTCTATCCTCAGGGTGAAGTTTCTGAACGCAGCCTAAACTAGGCCACAGATGAGTTGAAGCGTCTCATGGAAGACGCGACATCTTTCGGCTCCTTCCGCAAGTGTCAGTAGAAAAAAACCACGGTGCACGTAAAATATCAAGAAGTAACGTTGCGCAATGAAAGTGGCGCGATAACACAACTAATGAAAAATTTCTTCGAAAGATTCAGGCGCAAAATAAGACCGCAATAACAATTATACACGGTACGTAGACATGTGCGTCTGTTTAATATGAAAAGCGGAAAATGATAGAGCGCGCGATTGTAATGCACAGATTTCGAGTTTGACAAGCATTCGAGGCCGATCGCCGATTGGTCGAGAAGCGCGCAGCTACTTCGAAGGAGTGCGCATCTACGGAAACGTTACATCTTGCCTTTTCGCACTATGGAAAAATCTGGATACGATTGCATTTCAATATGGCGAACCGCGACAAAGGACGCAGAAAGTGGGGAGGATATTCACAAGGTACTCTAATGAGGGTGTTATTATCTCACTATTATCTCGAAAGAATGACACTGCGTTGCCGCTGATATTTACGCGCGCCTAACTTCGGTCCGGATTTGTAATCAATCTCTGCGATTTGATTACGGGCCGATATGTCGGAAGTTAACCTCTCTAAACAAGTTAACCTAAAAGCACATCGAGCATCTCGATATCGCATTATTTTACGACGGTTTCTGTCGCGGGTTGTTAAATCCAGGAATAAGGACGGGTTCTGTATTGCGAATTAAATCTGATATCATTTAAGGTCCTGATTGGACGACGTTCTTCCTTCCCGAAAAGAAACTCTGCTAAAACGTTCCAGTGCTGTCAAGAGTATCAACACGAACGCTTTGTTGTACGCACTTCTAAAAGTTAATATTTTGCCACTCGAATGTTTCAACTTCGCTGTATCCGTCAAGGAGTAGACAATTTTAGTTGCAATATTTCTCAGATGCGTAAAGCATAGGAATTTAATGTTTCCCATTCTTTCCCTTATGTCAACATTCTTATCCATGTATGTTACAATATTGTATGCAATACTGTGCAATTTTCTGAACATATAATGTAGAGAATGTTTTTGTAGTGTTGTAACATTGCTTTGTTTGTAATGATGTATCTAAATGAAGTTTAAATATACATGTAAAGTGCTTAATTTAGCATAATCTTTCTCAAGGCAGATAATATGATTGATTATTATTCAAATGAATATACATAATAACTTGTATTATACTATAGGAGATAATATAGTAAGAGAAAGAAATATGCTTAGAAAAAAACATAATATGTATTTAAAATACATAATGCATAACTTTTATCTACTTATTAAAGATGTTGTATGAATATATTTATTGCTATGTTTGAAGCAATGACATTATACATGATATTAACAGAATAACAATTGCGACATGTATAAAATATATCAGTGTTTGTAATTACATATAAAAAATGTATATGCAAAAGACTTTTAACAAACAGTATTGTAACAACAATTTTCAGAATCAATGAACTCTAAGTTAGAGAAGGAGAGATTGGCAGGGATGCGTGGCGGAGGGAATAGAGCATCTCAGGCTTTATACAGACCAGGAAGTGGACCCCTTCCTCGCAAGACAAGCAGGTCTGGCAGCACTGCCGACGAATATGACAACGAAATTGGCACGCAAGACAAATCCAGATCAACCTCCGTCCAACATCGTCTGAGACAGTCACAATCCAATAGATCTAATCAAGCAAAGGACAGCCCACCTCTGTCACAGATCGACGATGTAACCGACAAATTGGATAACACGCATATCCATTATAGAAATAGCAGCAACATTGATCAGACATCGAGCATCAGTCACAGTATCAGTAATACAGGAGCAGGAGGAGGCGATCCAAAGAGGAAAAACAGGAAACCCGAGCAGCCGATTTACGTGCCGAAGAAGGTGAAGGAAGCGTTGGCAGAACAAGACTCGTCCAACACAAGGTGAGACGCGCATTGTCGCTATCTATATGTATAAAGTACACGAAACGATCTTGATGGTAAAACAGCCTTTAATACGGAAGAATGACGCAACGATGGTTTCCATTGCATTATGCTAATTGCAGCTATTAAATTTCCTTAGATCTCCCACTCATAGTACCCATACACACAGTGCGTGGGAAAGAGAGAGAGAAGAGAGCGACGATCGTGACTCCCACTCCAACCGTAGTCACAAAAGCGACCGTAATCGCCCGAGTGGTAACAGCGGTCGAGACAATGATGGCGAAAGCAGAGTTAGAGATGACAATAGTAAACGGTATTCGGGTAACCGGCGACATCGTCATGTTAATGAGAACGAGGAGCGTTGGCGGTCGGATTCGCCGATGTCCGCTAAGAACTGCCCGAATCGAAGGGATAATCTGCGCGAAGTCAGACAGGTCAGTGTGCGAGACAAAATGAAGTCTAGTGCGATGAAATGGATTGTAAAATTTGCTGCGTTCAGCAGAGAAAGCAGCTTTGTAATTATTGTAAAATTCGTGAATCTGATTGCTCTGTGTTCTTAGATTCAACTAAAATTAAGATATACCAATCAGACTCACGAATTTTACAATAGTTGCAGAGCTTCTTTTCTCTGCTCAACGCGGCTAATAAACAATATACGAGGGGTGTTCAGAAAATAATGGGAATTTTTAAATTTCGCGGGTTTGGAGAGTCCGATCGTCAAAATTTTTTTTTATTATGTTGGTATACATGCCTCTGAAGTATGATAAAATTTTCAGCTGTATTCATTATTTACTTTGTCTGTGGCAGCCGCTAAGGTTAGACGTGTTTTTATGAGCTCGGCGATTTTCGTTCGCGAATGGAAGTTGCTATATATATATATATATTTTTTTTTATTTATTTACTTATTTATTTACTTATTTATTTACTTATTTATTTATTTATTTATTTATTTATTTATTTATTTATTTATTGCGCATTTGCAGGGCTCGGAGCCTTTGTCGGCAACCAATCAGTTGAATGACTTTAATCGTACGAGAGACACTCGTAGCGTGGAACCTACTGGACATTCCGAAAAATTTCAAGGCAAACCACCTTCGGGCAAACGGAATAATGGGAAAGATTGTTTACCAAAAAACATGAAGTTGGAGCTTTTGCCACCACGGCTACAAAAAAAGTATCTCGCGGATAATGGGTATCCTGTACCCACGAGCAATCCGGGAACGTCTACGGAGGATTCTTGGAATGGTGGCAGCATTACATTTCAGGTAAATTCTCGGAACACCCGTCGGTGTGGAACTTCATTTTGTTTATCTTCTCATGCACATCAATATACGATCGGTATCATGTTCGCGATATCAATTTTAGCAGGGTTCGTCCGGTTACAATTATCCTCCGACGATGCAACATTCACAAACGATGCAAAACTTGCCGCCATCAGGACCGTTACCACCGCAATCTAGCTGGGCGAATACCGTGCCAGCGAGAAGCAGAGGAAGGGGCAGACTCAGACCCGAGGAACTGGAAGCTACAGCGGCCAGTATCTTCAGACCTGTCACTCCTGAACAGTATTCGGCGCCGAGTTCCAGATCTCACACACCCAGTCAAGAGTATATAAACCGGTGTGCACCAAATTTTGTCTATCTTTATTTTATACACTCTCTTTTTACACTTTACATACACTTTATTACACTATATATAGTTTATTTTATGTTATATACAGTTTTTTCATGTTACACTATATACAGACTTTATATATTTTATTTTATGTTTATTGCATTTACTTCTTCGAATGGTTTGCCCGAATAAAGCCACGTTGAAACATCGCGAATCCTTCGTGCTTCCGACAGGTCTTACGATCGTCGCGGTAGCAACAGCACGTACACCAGCATGGAAAGCTTAAGCCGCGCCGACAGCATGATGATGCCGCCGCCACCGCCGTCATCCGCATCGCCTGCAACTTCTCAGTCGAATTCGAACAGAGGTTACAAGTCGCCCGAGATCCACCGCAGAGGAGGCGCGACGTCCCCGATTGGCTCGCAACATCGCACTTGCAACACGTAACTACTCAATTAATTATTTTCTCTTCTTCCTTAGTATTGTTCACATATATTGACGATAATTCTGTTTTAATTAATTAAGGCAAAGAGCAACCGGAAATACGTACGATCCTAATTCGGAATTGGACAAGCAGAACAATCAGCAGACCATGAGCGGTAGCTCGTTCAAGGCCGAAGCATTCAATCCATCGTCCAATGCCGCGTCTGATACCGGTGCATTCGTAAGTACACACGGAAAATTCAGCTCGACATGGTGAACGAATATAGGCGAACGTAGATAATTGATCATATATGTTGGGCAAACGTAATATACGTGATAATGACAAATGTAATATAACAAATAACATAACATGATCAATATAATTTCCGACGCTCGCCTAATATTTGCCAAATCGTGTGGAGTCGGTTTATTCAACTGAAATTTAGTTATCAGGTCTAGTTTTTAGCTACAAACTAGGTACAAAACTACAGACAAAAAGAATTAGCTAAATTAATTAAGTTTCAATCACATGGACAGCTAATTTTTATCTGTAGAAGCTAGTTTTTAGCTGTTAGGGAGGTAATTCTTTTTTCCGAATCAATGAAACAATATTTGAAGCTTTTCGTGTAACTCACATATAATATGACACATCTCTCGATATTTAGGATTGGAGCGAAGAAGTGGAACTGAATGAGAAGATGGAGGCGGAATACCTGAGTCGCAGCTCCTCTATACTGAGTATACGTGAGAGTGCGAGTATGCCGCGAAGTCAAGCCGTGGGCGAGAGCTATAAGCGACGTAAAAAAAAAAAGCGTGAAAAACACCACGCTGGCGACCGGTAAGCGCGAATTTGCTGGATTATCCTCTCTTTCTGTCGTTGGAGAGATGATTGAATACGTGGTTCGTCAAAGGACAATTTGTTTAGTGAGATTACGTTTGAAATTGTTCCAGTGGTAGCAGCAAAGGGCGAGGCAACAGTCGAGAGCGTCAGAAAAACCAGCAGAACCGGGAGAATGACAACTACAATAATAATCAAAAGAATAATAATAATAATAATAACAGTAGGCGACACGATTACAGAAGGCAGCGTAATATTATTCAACGTAGTCGAGAATCTAGCAAAGACAGGAATTATCGCAGCTACAGAAACTTCGACGATCATAGACCCAGGTATGTCCGGGCTACTTGGCGTATTCGGGACTTGTAAGCGTTCTAATATAGACGCAGGCGTAACACTTAACATAATGAGATAGCATTGCTAGAGTTAACATTACAAATATTCGGTTTCAGAACGGACAGGTACTTAGACGAAGACTGGAGAACAGGAAGAAAGATATCGATTTGCGACTCCGACGATGGCAGGCAGACTCCGAAAGTCTTTTCCCACATCGCTCCGCTTTCCAACGCGAACTCAAACACGACAACTCACCGATCCTCTCCGACGGGATACAGCAACGCCCAACCGGGCGTTTTAATCTTGCCTGATGCTAATCAATCGTCTCCCAAACAGACGTCTGCAGGCCCTCAGCAAGGAGTTGGACAGCAGCAACAACAGCAACAACAGCAGCAGCAGCAGCAAAGAACGTTATTTGACCCAAACAACCCGCATAAACCTATCGTTATCACTTCACCTGGCAGCAGAGCTGCAGTACAGAGGTAACTGACTTCTCTTGTTCCTATCATAATTTGTGATTTCGAAAATTAACACGTGCCAGATCAATTTTACCGGATTTCTCGCGACTCTTTGTATACATGTTCCTTGAGGTTAGTGTAATACCGCAACTTTGTTTCAAATTAATATATACTATTTAGATAGTGAAATAAATATATAAAATCGTAACATATTTTGCTCGATAAATACTGAATTAATATACTAAATTAATAAAACTAAATTTATAAATGGTCTTTTTAATGCTCCATTGAAAATACGACGCTAAACCTTATAACCTCCTTAAGCGACGGTTTATCGCTGTTTTCAGGGACAGTGAGCTGCACGTATCCAGTGTTCCAGTATTTCAGTCTAATGTAGGTATCACGCCATCGCATCATTCTTTCCAAGGAGCTCAATTGGATGGTATGCCAGCGCCGTACATGAATGACCAATTCGGAAACATAAGACCCACGTGGTACGAACCGTATTCAGCGAGGTGAGTATTATGCGCGTGTGCATACGGCGTTGTACAATTTTCAAGTATGTGGTTGAGGATGGTGTGGCGTCATTACATACGCTAATTTTGTCCCCGCAGTTTTCACTCGGCGAAGAATCACTGCCTTCTCTTGGACATAGAACGCGCCGACCTGGAATTGCAATGGATACTAAGTTCCGGCGGCTTCACGTCATGTTGGGACAGAGTTTCATATATACGACATTTCCTGCAACAGAGTCTGAAGATCCTGCTCGAGACCGATATCAAATTCTGCCAGGCGGAGAACGTCGAGCAACATTTCTGGAAGATCTTGTTTTACAATCTGATCGAGATGCTGCGGAAAGCAATGTCTAAGGAGAGTACGGAGGGACGAGACCATTACAAGAAGATAATGTTGAATATCATTGACGAGGGTACTACTTATCTGGAGAGTTTGCTAACCACTCTCGAAACCACGTACGACTTCAAGTTGGACACATTTCTCGCGTCCTCGAGTCTACCGAAGGGATTGGGGCTCCTGGGATTGGCCTTGGTTAGCGCGCAGAAAATCTTCGTGTTTTTGGGCGACCTGGCGAGGTACAAGGAACAAGCGAACGAGACGACCAATTACGGAAAATCAAGGCAGTAAGTATTTTGAATAATCAGGACAAGTAACACTGGTCAACAAACAAATTATATCCTGGATCTAAATCGTCAATTCTGATTAATTTCGCGTTGATCACAAATATAACAACTAAAATCAAAACCTAACTCTAATTTCCATTATATAGTAAACAGCAATCGAAAGGGAATTTGATGTTTGAGACTTCCGTAATGTGGAAAAAAGGAAATGTTTTCAAAATCATCACTTTTAAAGTTAATTTTTTTATTTTAAGGAAGTGTGTAACAATTTTATAAGACTACGAATAAAACATATTTTAATTTCCTGTAGGAAAATAGAGATTATTTTTATTCTTTCGTTGTTTACGAATGCTTCAACGTTTTAATTTGCAAAATCCTTTTTTGCGCAGGTGGTACCTGAAAGCGCAGCAGATCAACCCTAAAAATGGCAGACCCTATAATCAGCTTGCCCTATTGGCGCATTACGCAGTACGTATTTGCGAATTACACGTAACTCGACGAATATATATTTCTACGAGCCATTGCTCCTTAACGTTCACTGAACTTTCAGAGACGAAAACTGGACGCCGTGTATTATTACATGCGATCTCTCATGTCATCGAATCCTTTTCATTCCGCCAGGGAGAGTTTGATAGCGCTGTTCGACGAAAACCGGAAGAAGGTAAGAGAGCTCGTAAAACGTATCGTTTATCTGTTTGTATTCATACTAACGTTAATAATCTTTTGATTTTCTTTTGCCGCCAGTATCTACATTATGTAAGTAAATTTTGATACTTGGTGTGTGATATCCTCTAGATGCTCATTCCGTCATTCATTTGGTCAAGGCTTTATTTATTCGTTTGTTATTTTACTGCTCGTTACTTTTAGACTTTTCGTTTTGCGTGCTTTGGAGCCTTGATTTGTTCGTCTGTGCACTGATATAAAACTTGACATTTTCTTAACTCTCGGTGGCAAGCGTGGCGAATTAATATACATATATATATGCCTTACGCAATTATTCATTAGTTCAAACGGAAAGTATTTTCTCGCATATATCTGTCTCATTATCCGAGTACACGCTCACACAACCGTTCTCGCTGCAATTTCTTCATTTCCACGCGAATGTCAATTCTAGTAGAAAATTATCAACACCATAGACAAGAATAGAGGATATGTACATTGTAGCAACACAGGGGAGAGCTGGGGAGGGGGAAGGAAGGGGAGGGGCACGGTACTGTTGTACACGGCGAAGTTGTACGTTCGAGGAAATCGATAACAAGTATACGGTATCTGCTAACGATATGCCTGCGACGTTTTTTTTAGACCGCTTACTTATACGAGAGCAGAACGAGCGCCACGAGTTTCCAGAAATGCTTCGCTGTAAATCCAAGTCGTAAACTTTTCTTATCTTCGCTACAGCTCTGCACATTTCGTTAGCATGCACTTCTCGTAGTTGCGGGAACTTGTTATACAAACGAGGAATACTGATACTGTCCGATGGACGCTCTTTGTATGACTAGCTGACTATACAAACGGAGCCTCTCGCCTGCTACCGGTGTCCCTGTTGTTCCACGGCGGAATCTTGAGCAGAGAGACATCGATTTCTCTCGCGGCAGCCTTAATTATGCGCATCAAATGTCTGGCGGTTAACGCCACGCGTCGGAGACTAAATAGCCATCGGTTGTTGTGAATCCGTAATTGACAGGGACACGGCCGCGGGACGCTCCGTGCCCGACGTTATGCAGTGCTCGTATTTCTTACACTTGTACATGAGCGGCAACGCGAAAAACGGGAATGTGCATAAGTATAACGGCGAATTGTAACATACACACGCACACACCAACGCTATACCGCAGTTGCGACAATTGGCCAGATTACATTATGCACCGCATCCGTTTCTTCTTCTTCTTCTATTTTTTTTTTTTTTAATGTCACGCAAAAACACGGGTAGAGGTGTACTCTCTTTAGTAAACGAAATATTCTTAGTACGAGTCTATCGAACGTAAGCGGAAGGAGGAAAGGGAGTCGAAGGAGCGTGCGAGGATGAAGGAGAAAGAAGGCGCTAACATCATCGGCGGCGGCCTCAGGAGAGAGACGTGGATTCATCCGGGCGACGGTAGACGGGTGCGGCGTACGACGAGCGCGGCCACTGCCAACGAAGCGAGGCTCTCCCACAGCGACTTGGAGGAGTTATCGCAATTAACGAGTGTCGAGGTATGCATACCTCTTGTAACCTCGTACTTGTCTAACAGCTTTCGGATGCTGTCTGTCCGCGCTTGGCGATAACGACGCGTCGGCCCGTCCGTTGACGCGCTAAGTCAGCAAGGAAAATTCTGTCCGAGGCATTTCGCTTTCTCCGCGCTATCGATAAACCTTTCACGACAACTACGTAATCGCAACGTATATATTGAGCACGTTCGGTGAAACGATATTTCATCCGTTATCTGTTATCTTGAGCACTCTCGATATTCACGCTTCATTCTCGTCGTTTTTGTTTATTAGGTGAACAAACGCTTCGTTACTTCGTATCTCCACGTCCACGGCAAGCTCATCACCAAGATAGGGTGAGTGTTAATTATCTTTTACGTTTTCTCTGTACACACGGCGTCATGTACGCCTCACCTTTCCCTAGGTCGAGAACGTTGCGCGATTTTAAACTCACGCGTGTACGCTTAAGGTCGAAAGTCAGGTAATTCTAATTATAATGGTAGGGTAAAGACTTTATATGGCGGGAGGCCTATTGGTAATTTTAGGACAATGTTATGTTCTCTAGATTTTTATTTAAATTACCATTTTATTCCTCTTTTTTTTATGTAGCGGTTTCTCATCAATCACAAACAAAATAGCTTTTTAGTTAGACTTCAGACACAAAAAGAATCATTGTGTATTATTTAAGACTTTTATATTAAGGATTTAAGGTAGTATCGCAAAGGATTTTCAGTGACGATATTAAGAGAGGCCCCTACATAAGTTTATTATTTACTAAAAAAATATTTTTCCATAACTTTAACGATCTGTGTAATGAATGTTAATTTTGGGCGAAATTAAGAGAAATATATATACACACAATGTTATAAACACGGAAATATTATTTATTATTTACTTTTTTATTAATTCTTTATTTATACGTCAATTAAGCTAATAGAGGCACATATAAAAGAAAGCGATATATAAATAACTAAATATATGTATGTGTATACATATCTATTATTATAAGTTATTACTATAAATATAGAATATAAAACTATAAAAGTATTATTATAAATTGCAAATTTCTTACGTCTATTTAAGTCAAAATGGTTAATGATTCTGAAATTTTGTATAATGTCTCTGTATTAGTCCTTAATATCATAATAATTTTTCATTCAAATTCTAAATATAGTTTAGAAGAAATTAAAAATATATTTTGAAAATAGGACGTCAATTTCAGGGAACGCGTATAAAAAGTATCATTTTCAGTTGCAAATATCTCAATTTTCGAATAGTCAATCGTTTTCTAATTGCGTCAATAATTAAGTCATATTTAAACTTATATGCAGCGCAAATTTCAACGAATTCTTAAAAAACTCATTTTGTGGTACAACTACTACTATACGACATAAAACGTCGTCTTGAGCTGATAAGTCAGCCATTTTGCCAAGGCCCTTATAATGGCTCTAATTATAACGGTTCGATCTTATATGTGTACGTGTAATAATAAGGCTGAAAATCGTAATTTTCGACTGGGGGAATGGTGAGGCACACACGATGTCGTGGATATATAACTTTCTTTAAGCGCGAGAGAAAGGCGCGAATCGATGGCTGTATGCTCGTATATAACATTTAATTTTCGTCGGTCGTTCGTAAGCTCGTTTAAGCTCGGTTATTGAGGCCTGGCTCGGGCTCAGGCCGATGTTGCGACTGTCCGACTGCCCGATATTTGCATCTCGCAAAGCCGTACATACGTTTATCCTGCACCTCGGGCGTATCGTGTGACGAACAGCCGCCGTTCGCGTTCACTACACATTCTATCGAGCAAAACAAATCGCCGTTTGTATCCCACTCCGATTCGTTAAATGCGGGTTAAAGCCGGCGCGAGACGCGCGGTCGCGTAGTTTCCCATCGCCGGAATAACATACATTTGCATCCTCCTCGTCTCATCCTCCGTATTCTCGCGTAGTCATTTATGTATTATATAATTTCGCAATTATGACTCTCTTTCTCTCTCTCTCTCTCTCTCTCTCCCTCTCTCACAATTTGCGAAAGCTATTACTATCGCCTGCTACTGCCGTGGAAATCCGTGGCTGCGTCCTGACAAGTTTATGAAATTCTAACGTCACAAATTATACATATTTGCCGGCGATCCCTCCCGAACGGAATATTATTCGCGCCGTTAGAACGTCGTGGAATTTAATCTAGTCCGGCTAATCTGAAGATACGGCGTCGTGGGGCCTCCGGACCGCGGTCCGCGGTCGGTTGGTACGGTTCGAGTAAGTAGTTTTCGCGGAGAAAAATCGAATGGCTGGGATGTACGTTAATGGCGGTACTAATCGCGTTTCCCGCTAACACAGCCGAAGCAGAAAAGCCGTCGGTTCTCACGAACGAAAATCGAGCTGCCTTGTTAACTGCCTCGATACGTGCATTCAGATATCGCGTTTGTGTGAATATTCCACGTGTATTTCTTCGCGAAGTTTTCGTAAATTTTTCTCGAATTTTGAAGAACTCAGCGAGGATAACATTTGCAAACTTACCGGTTTCGTATGCTGCGTTAACTAGAGTTCCTATAATAAGAATCTGAATACCGTATGTGTAATTTCTGATTGGCTCTGCCATATTTGGATAAGCTTCCTGTTTGGTTGATGTAAAAATAATCAGCTAAGTGACAACACAAGTAAAGATTTGCAATCTACAAGGTTCACGAAATGTGTTTAAAAAAAGTGAGTTTGTGTGAAAAATATAAGACTAAGGTCTAATTTTGACCTTAGATGGTTTGTTATGCAATTGTATGTTTTAAATATTTTGATCTAATTTTACAAGCTTTAACCCATCTTTTAGATATAAAATCATGTATAAGAGAACTTGCATTTCAAGTGTAAAGAACTTACCGAAATAAGTAATTTGTATTTCACGTGTTCCAACTTAACATTCGAAAATAATGATTCCGAGAGTAGTTATTTTTATAGCAATATTTATACTTTGTATTATTTCTCATTTTGAAAAATGTTTATATCTTCAAAACGCTTTATTGATATGTCGGAAATTCCTTTTTTCAATATAAAGTGAATAATTATAAAGTGGGATCAAAAACGGTGCAGTAGCTTAATTCTTAACGACAACATCGTTAGCCTAGAGTGTCGTCGCGCAGCTTTTCTGCCATACATTATACTTGTGCGACGACTTAATGATAACGAAACCGTCGATAAAAGTTACAGAATAGGAAGTACAGGTGGGTTGTATGAAATTCTAGAGCCAGTGGCCGGCGAGGGTTAATAGTACTTGAACATTTCGCACATTATGGCTGTGAACTTTCGATTTTAACCCAAGCATGGTAGCCACAGCGACGGTGTCCAGACTCTTATCATAGGAACTTTATCGTTAATGAAACTCGCGCGACGAGCTTGACCGTTCCAAAGTACGAATAAATGCATGCACTCATTCGCTCGCTCGCTCGCACCACCGCGAGTGCCGGCACTCGTCGTCTCTATCCCCGCAATGCTGAGCGCTCCCGCGATCTCTCGGAACCCTGTCGAGTCCGTGGACCGGCCGCCGGTGGTCACGTATGTACGTGGCTTCGTGTAGCTTCGTGTTTTCTTATACGGCGGTAAAAATGTTAATTGACAATTGCGTGGCGCCACCCGACCACCGTCTCGCGCTCCGTCGCGTCTCGACCGCAACGACGGCGGCGGCGGCGATGTTGTCCCCGTCGCGTGTTGTGACCTTGCGAGTACCCTTGCGAGGATACCTCGCGATTATCGTGGCGAGTATCGCACCCTCCGGTATCGCGTATCGGCGATAATTCCAGTGGACTCGCTCGAATTTTCCGAGCGCGCGTGCCGCGCTCGGCGGCGTCCGTGAGTTTTCAATTTATTCGGCGCCGGCAACATAATTGGTTCCGCGATCGGGGTGAGCGAGGAAAAAAGCGGAGGGATGATGAGGACGCACAGGACGGGGAAAAAAAGAGAAGAAGAAGAGTAGAGGAGTAGAGGGCAACGCAGGGGAAGGGGGAAAAGGAGGAGGTAGGGGCGCTTCTCCCCCCGGTGTTCTATACAACTACTAGAGCTACGTAGAATGTACTCGCGGTCTATAATTGGAATTGGTACCGAACCGGTGCCATTGGTTAGCTGCTTGTTAACGACACGGTACGTGCGTGGCATAGGTACACGTATAGATCGCGCGCGCACGGCTGGCGCACGGAGAGGCAGGGGGAAAAAGATGGGAGACCATGCAGAGTCGGACGCGTGGTATGGTCGGCTTACGGTGTTGCTGGCTCGTTGCGTCGCGGCTGCTGCTGTAATGGATTTGGCTCATTACCGGCCGGAGCACACCGGAGTCCGACCCTACCGAGTTATGCTCAAGGTTGCCCTCGTGCTACGCGGGCCCATCTCGGGCCATTTCCTCTCCGCACGTGATATCGCGCTTTTCGTCGACCCTCCCCGGAGTCCTTTTCTCTTAAGAGGGAAGTTTGCCTCTTTTTTTCGCATTTTTTTTTTCTAGCATTTTATCCTCCCGCTAAGACTAACAAATTTCGCACCTAACATTCAGCGACTGCTCTTATCAGCTCTTATTCATTCTTACTGTACGGAGAAAAAAGTTTCTTGCTGGAACAGTAAATTATTTGTTATTATAGCGACAGCAAAAGATTTGTTACACGGAAAAGATAATTTTGCCGTTGTAGCTAAACGTTGCGGCTAAATTTCAGCGGTGAAATTTAGTTTAATTTAGGCATAACTAAAAATTAATACTTTAAACAAATTTTTTATTGTCTAAACAAATTTTTATTTTTTTGTTATTTTTTCCACAATTATTTTTCCACACGGAGAAAAATTTTGTTGTTTTAGCGAAATCATCGTTGCTTATGACAGCAATTAAATTTAGTTGTCATGGTCAAATTAGCAAATTATTCGTAATTAGAATAAAAACAGTTCGCCAGGATATAAAATATTCTGTTGAAAGAATTTGGTTTTAGTTAATTTGCTGTTAGAACAAAATAGTGTTTTCTTACATTTACTAATTTGTTCTTACAGGAAAATGATTTATAGATTCGGGAAAATTCGTCGAATGCCATTAGTATTCTTAACAAATCGTTTTGTTGTTCATCTAGTAACTGACAGATTTTGCTGCGACAGCGTGAAATTTGCTGTACCAGCAAATTATTTTTCTCCGTGTATGGTCATACACAAAATCAACGAACAGACTATGCATTCCAAATATACGCGTGGAAATTTACGATGATTCACTTCTTTTTTCAAAATCGAAAAGTCAGAGCACTGGAATATGAAAAAAACAAAGATCAGTGGACTTTTTTGATCATTAACGCGTGAATAACATTCGTTATTTATTTAGTTTAATATCTGGGCTGTGCATA